TTGGTGCCACTCCCTCACACAGTGACAAATGAGCTTGGTGCCATTCCCCCACACAGTAACAAATCAGCTTAGTGCCATTCCCCCACACAGTAACAAAGCAGCTTGGTGCCATTCCCCCACACAGTGACAAATCAGCTTGGTGCCATTCCCCCACAGTGACAAATCAGCTTGGTGCCATTCTCCACACAATGACAAATCAGCTTGGTGACACTCCCCCACACAGTGACACAATATACATACACTAGCTGTACTCACAAACATGGTTATGTTTTTCAGAATATGTTTTTCCCCCACAGTGGCAAATCAGCTTGGTGCCATTCCCCCACAGTAGCAAATCAGCTTGGTGCCATTCCCCACACAATGACAAATCAGCTTGGTGACACTCCCCCACAGTGACAAATCAGCTTGGTGACACTCCCCCACACAGTGACACAATATACATACACTAGCTGTACTCACAAACATGGTTATATTTTTCATTTCATGAGAGTGCATACCACGCTTTATTGGAACAATATAATGATGACTGCAGACAGTCTAGCCCTGGTCTGAATCAAATTGTGAGCTTATTTGGTGGACCAGTGAATTCCGTAAAGAACAGTCACATCATTAAGACTGGTATGATACATGACAGGCATTACTGGAGTCGTCGACCAATGACAGAGCAAATGATACAGTATGCTGCGAATGATGTCAGTGCGTTGGTGCCGACAGTCTATGAAAAAATGAACAGGTACAATATTTGTGATCATTAATATATTTATTTATAAATATTCACAGCTGACAAAATAATAAATTTGGCCAAGTTATTATCTGTGACTCAATTCAAAAAGGCCATCATGTGTTTTGGTCAGTATAAATATACTTGTACAAAGTAGCACTGTATTGTCGTGTGTTCTTTACAGTGAAAAATAAGAATGCGATGAAGGAGTTCGTTTTCGAGACCAGGGCCTGCATGTCCACATCCATACATACCCAATCAGTTTTGTACTTCAATAAAAATTACTGTCCATCTACCAGTATCATCATCTGGTTTTCAATCTGTTGTTTCACAAAGTTTTCTAATGTCAGTGTGCTTTTAACTTCTAGGGCAATTAATCCTGAATGGCGATCTTTGTTTAATAAACTATGTCAAGATAATTCTAGATGGTATCTGACGCGGAAGTAGTGGCCTACATCACCCGGTACAAGTGCTTACAGGAAGTAAAACACCTATTCTTTTCAAATAAAGCCAACCTCACTCACAATGGATTCAGTTGTACGGACATATTTAGTTTTCTGTCTGCCTATTGATGATGGAATTCAGAGATCAAGGTTACTGCATGCATGCACACATGTGAAAAGAGCTTTATATCATAAAGTTTATATAAAACTATCAATTGTGGGATTGCTCGGCAACCAGAAGGGGAGAGAATGTCAATGTATTTATTGCAAAGTTCATGTATAAACATTTATTGGCTTATGTGATTTGCAGCCGAAATACAGGTTAATTTGGGAAGGTAATTTTAAAACTTTGCTTGAAGCTAGCTAGCTTATGTTATGTCACGTATCCAGAAAAGGTGAATATTAGACTAGATGTAAATAGTACTAGTATATGAAACCTGAAATATTTTTTTTTTTTTTTACTCGTTATACGATGTTTGAGATTACCATAGGTAACACAGAATATTGAGGATTTATTTTTAGATTTTGAGTTGTATTTTCGTGTGCATCAACAACACTCAACTCGATCTCGGTGCAGTCATGTAGTAGTAGTCCAGAGTTTTAAATCCGGTTTGGTCCCCGAAGACGAGGGTGGCCAGATTCACCTTAAACTAGTGGCAATCGCTCTTACCCCCTCCCTCCACTTTGCACGATTTAAAGCATCCCTCATCCTCATCCCAACCTTCCCACTCTCCTCCTCCACTTGCATCTTCCACGTCTTCTTTGGCCTTCCCCTTCCCCTTCTTAATACATGCCCATCCTCCCTCCTCAGCACATGCCCATACCAACGTACCCCATTTGCCTTCGCCAACCGATCTACCGCTTCCTTCAAACCCAACATCTGCATCAAGTCCTCAGTTAACTTTCTGTCCATCAACTTCACCCCACACATCACTCTCACCATCGATCTCTCCGTCCTCCTTAAAATACCCAGCTCATTTTCACTCAAACACCATGTCTCGCTCCCATACAGCAATGCTGATCTCACACAACTCTTATAAACTATTCCTTTCATCTCCAAGGGAAATCTCTTCCCATATAGTAGCTCTCCACATTCCCTTAACTTCACCCAAGCAAACCTTGCTCTAGCTGTCACAGCCGCTCACACCCACCACCCACACTTACCTTGTCCCCCAGGTATGTAAACTCCTTCACTGTCTCAACCTCATCACACAACTTTTCTTCCTGTTCCACCACCCTTCCAACTCCATTCTTACATCTTCCACACGCAAAATCCCTTGCCAATCTTTGGGTCACCCTCTTTATCTTTGCACATCTCCCATGTATCCACTTCCCACATGAAAATGGTACATAAATTGTGGAAATATCATAGTAAGGCCAAAAAGTCAGATGGCTGTCAATTGGCCATCCTTGACGAGATTTTGAAACACATTGTCATGGACATGCATCCTAACATGTATAAAGTACATGTATGTGCCAAATTTGAATGAAAACTGACAGAGCACGCATAAAGAGATACTGCATAAAAAAAACAAAAAACAAGATGCCTGCCAGTGGACCATCCAATTGTGAAATAAAACGCCATGAACATGTATCCTAACATGTATAATATATGTACCAAGTTTGAATGACAACTGACAAAGCATGTCCAAAATACAACATTTTCAAAAAACAAGATGGCTGCTAGTCGGCCATTTTGAATCGAATCGCTAAACCACTGCATGTGCATATGTCCCACATAAGGTACTAAGTACATGCAAAGAATGAACGAAATCAGTCCAAGGGATTCTGAGATATGACTCCGGACGGACGCACGGACGAAGACTTCGTCCGAACGGGAACTAAAAAACCACTCCCTTTATTACCATATACACCAGTTCATTGCCACACATTATATCAACACAACAAAAATATGATCCCTTTGTGTCTTGAAAATGTTTCTGATGCAAGCATAGTTATTTTCAAGACTAAATTTTGTCAGATGCTACCAAGGTACTTACCTCTTTTTGTTGACAGGTTTTGCACTTTGGTCTGGACAGGTTCTGCAAGGGAATGGATTCCATTTGACTCTATAAAGAAGATACCAAAAGTTTTTGACATATTTTTAAGTTAAGTGGCAATATGGGTAATTTTGATCAATTAAATAATTTTTTTTATATATCTTGATAAAAAAAAATTGTCAATTCAAATCTTTACTTGTGAGGCAAACAAACTATTCGTCTGATGAAACAAGACATGAATGTCATAGTCCCCATATTTGAAAAAGAGTATTTAAAAATAAAATACTTTATAACATTTTGTATCTAACTACATTTATACATTTGGACCATTAGAAACTCTGGAGGGTAGATGGTATATACATGTACAAATATTTTGTTCCTTCACTTAGGTTTTGTACTATTTTTTCCATGATGAATTTTCTTTTTTTATACTGTGTGAAAGATAAGACATGCAGAATCTTTTTTAGACATTCAGGATTTATTCAAAAATTTATTTAAATTCAGACTTTTTAATGTTTTACATTTCTGAAAAATGATTATGGAATGTGCTTTCTGCGGTAAAATAACGGCAGTTGTAATTTGCTAAAAAAATATAAGATTTTCTGCTTGCACGAACAAAATTAAAAATATATGCACTGTATGTTTTAAGGAAAGAGCTAACAGGCAACTGTGTTAGCCTATGATGGTGATTTAATATTTCTTATTCTAATATCATTTTACACTTTCTATCTGGGTTAGTTTCAAAAAGATTAAACATTTACAACTGTTTGGCAACATTATTTTTTGTAAACTGAAAAAAAAACACAGTCCCCGTCCAAAATTTTGTGATCTGACATATCAATTTGATGCCGATGAAGTCACTGAGATTAGATTGAAACCATTAATAGGAGATGGATTTGTAAAAAATTATGATTTAGTGCTTTTACAAGAGAATTGGACATTGGGCAGTCATATTGAAGCAAATTACAAAAATAATGTTGGTGCAGACGTATTTCTTGGCATACTACCTTCGTACAAAATTTAAACAAATGTTCATTGCATTCAAGAGAAAGTAGCATGGGTACCATGAAAAACAAAATGACCACCAGTCAGCCATATTTGTTCCAATGTATGATCACCATACTAACTTTGATCCAAATCGACCTAGTCATCTCTGAGAAACAGCTCCGGACATGTAAAAATTATGATTTAGTACTTTTACACGAAAATTGAGCATTGGCCGGCCATATTGAATTGAATCAAAAAAATAATGTTGGTGTGCATGTATCCCTTGGTATACTATCTTTGTACAAAATTTACAGAGAAACGTTCATTGCATTCAAGAGGAAGTAGCAAGGGTACCATGAAAAACAAAATGGCCGCCAGTCAGTCATATTTGTTCGATTCACAAAAAAAATATGACATGCACCTATAACCTAATATGTATGATCAACATATCAACTTTGATCCAAATCAGCCAAGTCATCTCCAAGAAGCTGCTGCGGACATGTTTAGGTATCAGAAATAGCAAATTTTACATCCAAAATGGCCGCAAGTCGGTTATTTTTGCTCCGATCATAAAGTAACTTGACACGCATATGTAAGACATTATGTATTGTCTTCATGTAAAATTTAATAAATCCGTCAATGGGTGTCCGAGATATAGCTTCTGACGTACATACAAATGGACAGACAGACGGAACAAACCCAAATTAATAGTCCCCGTTTTCGGACTTCGTTGTTCAACGGCTATTGTACAAAAGATTAGTGCTGTATATGACAAGTACCCCAAAAGGCAGTGAGTGAGACAACAAAACAAATGCTAAAAGTTGATTTTTTACAAAAATTACAGAAATATTCAATAAAATTAGAATCAAAAAGAGCTTAAAAAGAACTCCAGCATGTTGAGAGAATAACATAATATGATATTTGCAATTATCTGAATTTGTAATACATGTATATACCAAATTTGTTGAAATATGTTGAATGGTTCTTTAAATAGCACCCAAATAGCTTGAATTTCACTAGCTGATATGCAAATTAGATAATTTAGATAATTTAGATAAATTAGATAATTTGCATAAATTTCTACCAAAAACTAAATATCTGGAAACTGCACCAACACATCTATGCACCAAGTTTTATTAAAACATATTAAATGGTTCTCAAGACATCACCAAAATAGCCTAAATATTGGTATGTAAATTAGGCAATTTGCATAATTTCCCACCAAAATCAATCATGTCTATACACATTTAAATACGTTGAGTGGTTATGGTTTCATTACAACCACAATAGACCAATCAAAGAAAACTTAGAACTAACATGTGCTATGTGAGAATGAGAAACAGTTGACAGAACAAATGGGAAACATTACATATCTCCCTGTGAGCATATAATTTCAATATGACATCATTGTATAATCTTCCCAAGTTTTGTCCATTTTCCGACAACTGTAGTGCATTAAGGAGAAGGTAATAAAAAAAATCATAAATTTCTGAATTTTTTGATAAATTTGGCCACTTTTAGTGACTGGGTG